AGGAATTTAGAACAGCCCCCATATAGCCCAAAATAGACTTATATGCAGTTGTGGGATCCCAGGGTCCCTTTGCACGAGCTAAAACCTGGCGGCCTGGTGTGCGCCGCTGAGCCTTGAGGTTTTCTGCCGCTGGATGGATGTCTACTCCTACTCCGAGCTGGGATCCCATTGACTAACAGTTTATGTAGGACAGGGCGCCGACTGCAAACCTTGCCTGAGGCCGATTCCAGGTGATCCCAATATGGGTCTGCATGGATCCAAGTTTGTGACAATTCGCTGCTGCAGTCCTTCGCTCCTTTGCCTCTGCAATTTGAATTTCTCATGCAGAGGCCTGGTCGCCATCGCTTTCCGGGTGGCACCATGCACTACTGGGGTGACATGGAGTCGGAGGAGAGGTTTGGTGCGCGCCTCATCACATAGAGGCTGACAGGTTTGCGACGATCTTCCTCAACTTAACTTGCAGGTGTTGATCCTGAATCCATCGACCTCATTCTCTGCCCGTTCATTTTCGAGCATGTCTCGCAGCCCTGGGTGGCCATTCGGATCTTGACTGCAAGTGGAGCAACTCCCTCCAGCCATGAATTGCAGAAATGGTCTCACAGTCTAAATTCTCTTGCAAGGACGTTGGCTAGAACGCTGCGACCCGGAGGCTTCATCGTTTGGGCAGCCGCTTAGCGCAAGATGGTTTCAATCAGTAGCAGGCATTGTAGCAAGGTCGCACATCGCAGATGTTGTGCATCCAAAGTCATCATGAACTGCTAGATTGAAACACTGACCGGATCTCTAGGCGCCTATGTACCAGCGATACCATGGGCAGCCGCCCCAGACTTCCTCGTGCAAAAATAGAGTATTGGGAATTCTGCTAAGTGTTTTTCTTGAGGTCTCCGCATGACTACTACCGCTACACCCCCAAAGGAGTGGCTGCATTGGCCAAGCATGCCGGGCTGGAGGCTTGCGATTTGTATCCTTTGACCTGCAGGAAGACAAGAAGCATTTTTCTGTCCGCATGGCATCTGGTGTAGTGAGCCTCCATGACTTCTTCAGGTCAAGCGCTTGTTTGCGCCTGGCGACTTGTCTTTGGTCAATGGAGCAGCATCCCGAGTTGAGGGAGTGTCCATTACCACGCTCATTCTAGAATGTGGTGTGTGATGGTCTGTGTGAGTTGTTGGCTTTGCCACCTTCCAGCGTGAGAGCGGCGGCCTGGCAAAGTTGAGGTTCTCATGGGTATGGTCTTGCCCTACTGGACACCAGAGCAGATTCTACGTGAGGAGGAGCCTTACGAAAAAGAGGATGCTCCCAGGCAGCTGGTTGCTGTGGCTGGAGATGTAAGCGATTATTGGCTCTCCTCGATGCAACATGATGTAAACACAGCTCAAGGCTGCTTGCAGTAGAGAAGCAGCTGCAAACATAGCTGTTCTTGTTTACTGTAAAATCTGCAAAGTGTTTTGCTTGCACATCCACAGTCCACGTCCAGCCAGGTATCCGCTGAATGTTTTTGCCCTTCTGAGGAAGTGCTGCCCTTAGAGATTTGTGGAGTCTTGCGCTTATGTGCAGCGAAGTTCCAAGGGAGCACCGCACTGCAACTGAGACCCGGATCGCGTCCGCCTCTGCAGCCTCTCTGAACCCGACACCATCCTACGCGCAGCTACGCGCAGCAGATGCACTGCGAGCGAGTCCGTCCTGCCGTTGGCGGCAAGCCTCAACCTGGCGGCATCCAATGCAGGAAGCCAACACATGATCTCCGGATTATTACTGAGAAGGTGGCAGTGGCGCAGGACTTTGGTCTCGGGACCTAGCTCCGATGAATCGGCCTTCAGCCGATGGCTTTTGCACACGAGGAGGGAGGAGCAATGGGTGAGCATGCAAATGCTTCCTTGACAGCTAATGTTGCAGCAGGAATTGTGAGATTTGTGCAAGCTTGAGCAGCTGGAAAAAACTGTTTTTGTTCTCTCGGAATATTTGCAACGGCGAGGATTACAATCTTGAACTTGTGTAGGTACTCCAAGAGAAGGACTGCTTGTTCAGGACAGATGCTGCTTCGGATGAGTATTCTTGCAGTTGCACTACCTATGGATGTGCTGGAGGAACATCTTTCGAACCAGCCAAGCTTTCCGCCCACAGCTTCGTGAAGCTCCGGCCTAAGAACAGAGTCAACCGCATTGGGTACCACGAGGAAACTTGACATTCAGGTCGCTGCCAAGTGGCCGGACTTCTTGACGGGTATTCTGCTCCACGCCTGAAGGGCTTTCCGGGTGTGTGGATCCGGTCACAAGCCCCTGCACTAAGGCCCAGGATGTCCACGGTCTTTCAGCTCACAGTTGTAAGGCCGTCTGGTCACCTCTGTGATATACTGTATGCTGACTCTGAACCAGGCATAAGGCGTCTGGCAGGGTGCTTGTGCTTGCCAACACGTGCCACTCTCAAACGTGAAGAAGCTTCATGAAGACCACGTGACTGCCTCTAGTGACGACGTGCCCTGTCAAGGCATTTGTTCTACCACCCCAATGCCAGGTGGACCTGTTGCTGGAACTTGCAGAATTTTCGCCGTCCAGCCAATCCTGTCTCAGGCATATTCGCCTTCTGCAGATCATGTGCCTACTGCACCAAGTGCCCCAGTGGCTTTCGCACGGCAGTGAGATGTGTGGGACGGCAACGTTGACGAAGCGCAGAACCAACAAAAATGCTAAGTATTCCGACATCTTACGTACCTGTCACATGACAGCGTTGAATCGTCCAATGCTTGAAGATTTGCGGAGATGAGGTACAGGAGCTGCGCGAGCAGCACAGGGATGCAAAAGGCCTGAAGGGAGAAGAAGTGAGATATCTGGGCACACACACACGCGCGCGTGCGCGCGTTTGCGTCTTGAAACATGCCCCGTTTCTGTACTACTGGAGGCCAACTTCCCAACGTGATCTTCGCTGGTGATCTAAACTGTTTGCCTGAGACCGGCGCAGTACTGGACTTGGCAACCGCATGTCTGTGCAACTTCCCATCTCCTGAAGTCGACATCACACGGACAAACACAAACAAGGTGCAGCTGCTTCTCAAGGGTGAGGTGCGCGAGAACTGAACATCGGAAGCACAACTGATGCTCAAAATCCCGCATGACCCGAAGATGCCGAAGTACCTTATGCCAATGCCTCATGCCTTAGGACTTATGCTATTCCAGTTTCCTAAGGTCATGCAGGAATTTGGTATCAACAGTGCCTCAGGCGGTGCAGTGCAGCTTGCTGAATCTGTGGGACAGCTGAGCAGGTGACAAGCGACCACGAGGATTGGGAGACTTCTTCTCAAGTGCGGGACTATGCGAAAGATCAATGCGCAGTGCCGTGGCAGCTAGAGAGTCATCCCAGCAATGTGATGGCCAAGTTTGCGTGGCGAGATGAAGAAGTTTCAGCAGATGCTGGAGAGGCATGGCATGCGCAGAGAAGCGTTTGAGTGATTAGAGTGCTCGCAGCAAACCGGCAAACTTGAAGTTTTTGTTTTGCTCAGCTAACGTCAGGTGGTGTTTTCAGGAAGACAGTGCCGCGCACACATGCTATGCTCGGGATCTCAATGCAGGCAGATGAGTGTGCTCCGAAATCATCAGTGCCTTCCATGGAGGTGCAACGATGAACCGTGCAAGACCATGCATTCGGATAAAACGCATCAGGCTGATGAGGCGGATGTCGTCGAGCCGCTGCCAAAAGAACATTGGCAAAACGGTGGCAGCCTCATTTCCTGTTCGTCAGTGATCAGGCAGACAGCAAGCGGAAGAGAGGCGTGCGAGCACAGCGTTCAAAGAGGTCTAAGCTCCTAGCACTTGATGACTTATGTACTTTGAACACTTCCACGCCCGCAATGCCTACAGTTTGCGGCCAGCCACCATTTGACTGGTCATTGGTCAGGGCAGCTGCGTGTCCAGCTGTCGGCTGTCACGTGAGATCAGATCCAAAGGTGAGCGCTCAGAGCGCGTTTCGACATTTGGGGTTTCAGCCATTTGGATTCGGGGCGCTCGGCCTCCTCCACCGCAGCTTGTTCATGGCGAATGACGGAGGATACTCGCACCAACTTGAGAGTGCTGGTCTGAAAGTTGCTAGTTGGCATGGGGTATTGTTCCGATGATGGGTCCCGAACATATAGCGGAGGAACCAAACAGACATGAATGAGTTCTGCGGATGCAGCGATGCAACTGACAGATGTGCATGCAGAAGTATGAA